AATAGCGCTTAGAGACAGACCTCCGGAGAAAGCTCTGAATCTAACAAAAAGAACGATACCTAACTCGATCCAGTTCAATCCGATTCAGTCAGTCATAGAGCCTTCGCCATAAACGATGTTCGTGTGTTGAAAAATCGACAAGTGACACTACACAAAGTGTGTCGTGAGTCGATTTTTCGACAAGTGACGCTCGGAGGGTTAAGAGATTTTACCAGTATCTTTACGGCAGAAAATGTATATTGATTGTAGATAACAAGCCACTTCAACAAATATTCAATCCAAGGAAAGCCATGCCAGTCATCTCAGCACATTGATTATTAAGGTACGCCCAATTCTTAAGTGCATTCGATTACGAAATCAAACAGAGACCATCAAAAGAACATACAAATGAAGACTACTTTTCTCGAAACCAAATTCCTCTGGATGTAAAGTTGGTGAACTTCCTTGAAGACTCATACAAGGTAAATCAGACAACTCTTGACATGATTACAGACACCTCAGCTATTACCGCAGACATAATCAGATTAGAGACAAATAAAGACCATGAATTACAAAGACTTAAAAGAAAGCTTCTTGAAGAAGAAACAAAAAATCAAGAATTCACCCTTCATTCCGGTATTATTATGCGAGGGTCAAGGGTTTACATTCCTAAAACACTTCAACCAGCCGAACTAAAAGAATTACATTCATCTCACATTCCATGAAAATGAAGAGCATTGCTAGATCATTATGTTATTGGCCTGGCATAGATGCTGCAATCGAAAGCATGGTAAAATCATGTAAAAGCTGTGCTGAAATAAAAAAACAATCCAGTCAAAGCTCTTCCTCACATTTGGGAAGAACCTCAAGAAAACTGGCAAAGGATTCACATAGATTATGCCCTTTCAAAATATCACTATTTCTTTGTGGTTGTAGATGCCAAATCAAAGTGGCTGGAAGTAAAAATGTCCTCAAAAGCCCCTACCTCAATAACAACAATACATGCACTGGATGACCTATTTTCTCGATATGGACTTCCTTACACTATTGTTTCTGACAATGCTTCTATATTCTCAAGTCTGATGAGTTCACTAAATTCTGTCAGGATAACGGGATAGTACAACGTTTCTGTGCACCAAACCATCCTGCAACAAACGGTCTGGCTGAGCGATCAGTACAAAACTTGAAACAAAAACTCAAAACAATGACTGAAGATACAGGAATTCTGATGACAAAGCTGAATCTTTTCTTATTTATGTACCGCTCAAGCCCTCTTTAACAATGGTAAAACGCCTGCAGAACTATTATTATGAACAGGACTGTACGTACTAGGTTACATATCATACGTCCTACGGGAAATATAACAAGAAAAATACCTGATGATCATTCTGCCAAAATAAGATTACTAAATCCAGGAGATAGAGTTCAAGCCAGAAACTATGTAGGATCTACACAGTGGAAATTTGGTACAGTCTTACGTTTGGGAAAACTTCATTATATCATCTTATTAAACAATCAAAACAAAATAAAGAGACATATTAACCAGTTCAGAAAAACACATGTTGAAGCTAGTGGGTTATCAAAAACACCAAGATATTTTCATAGATACCTAGAAGCAACCCAAATCATACCAAGTCAAACAAATGTTTGTAGCTCTCCAAATGTCTTGTCATGGAACACACCTTTAGGAGATACTGCACCATCAAGTTCCTTTTCTCCTCAAATCTTACCTCAGCCTCCAATGGATTCCTCAGAGATAACCACATATGGATCAAACATGGATTACACAATGTCAGAGCCACCTGTAGGTGCTAACCAACAAAACATTGAAGAACCTCCAGCATATGTTGAAAATATTGTAGAACCACCTGTTCATAACCAAACACCATTGCAGTTAAGACGATCTTCGAGAATAAGGAATTCTAAGAAATGTAGTTGTTGCAAGTGAATGATGAACTAACGTTGAAGTCAAGTGGGGGAGAACTGTTATATATTATTACAAGCTGCTATACCCGTGCTTTGCAACGGGAAGAAAATGTGACCTAGAGAGCTATTAAAGTGGTGCTGATGTGTGTTTTAAAATACAGCAACTCTATGATTTAGTTTGAAAATAAAACTGATTTAAAAAGCGTAAACCTACTTACTTTCAAACCCCTACTTTTGATGTTAATAGATCCCTAAGAATATGACAACAAACCTCAGTGTTGTAATTGCATCAATTATTGCTTCATATAGATGCTTCATGAATGACATGTTTTACCATTTTCTTCAATTTTAGTCCAGCCTCTTCACATGTAGTTTAATATATAAATTAAAAAATGAAACTTTGAGCAATACTTTACAAAACATATACAACCTCACTTTAAAACCAAACATAACCCTCCTCAATCTACATAAAGCAAAACAAACGGTATTTACTCAGGGGAGGTATAGAAGAGGCTACGATGACAGCTGTGGGCTTCTTATTAGCTGAGGGAACGCCATTACCGTAACAAAACGGTCGATAGCCATCGGCCTCGGTGGTCTAATGGTTAGCGTGCCGGGCTGATATACTGTAGGTCCCGGGTTCGAATCCTGCTGGTAGCATTAACTTTTTGTCCAATATTTTTATATTATCAACAAGTTTGGTTGGTTTGGTTCGGTTATTACAGTTTAATTTTTATTATTAAGCCATTATAAAATTTTAATTGAGCAAATTCTAGTTTTATTTAATAAACAGAATTATTTTTCCGATTACTAAACTTTTGTTATATTATTTCTTTATCAGCAAGTTTGGTTAGTTCGGTTAGGTTATGATAGTTTAATTTTATAATTAAAAAATAATAAAATTGAATTTGAGACATTTATAATTTTATTTTATGAACAGAACTATTTTTGCGATTAGTAACCCTTTATTGCCAAAGTGCTCTCTACTACAGCGCTGTTCACGGAGGAATTTTGAACTAAATGCCTCATTCGTACCTCCCCTAAGTCAGACCCAAAACAAACATCTTATTCGAGTAAATAAACAAACACCAGTTCATTGTACTGACCAGCTGTTTCATTAACAAAATTAAATTAAATCATTTAAACATTGGAAGCATGCCAGGCGTAGCCCTTTGGAAATCAGCCTGTGGGGCAGAGCCCTTAAGAAATTTGCCCATATCAATACTTTTCTGCATATCTACACACTCTAAGCTTCATTTTGATGTGCCATATGCCTATATTTTTATTTGGTAAATGACCTTAACCGTTTACATAAAATTTGATTGTATCACTTTAATAATATAATAGATATCTGTTAGTCTGGACTCATTACTTAATTTGATTTCTATTTACAGCTGATGTAATATTTACAATTCTAAGATTGAGAAATAAATAAAAACAAGACTTTATTTTTAGTTATTTCAATTATATGTTACAATTATTTAATTCAATAAGTATGTAACAACTAGCTAGGTTACATCATAATCTGTTCAAGATCTTTAAAGTGATGTTTGGAGGTTAAGTGAATAATAATATACTTGGTGTACAATGCAGTTGTCTGCTTGCAATATTGAGGGGAGCTAGCATATTAATCCAATACTTTTCTAAAGTCAATGCTACATCTGTTCCTCGTAAATGAGATCATATACTTGCAGTATCCAATGACAATGATATATTTGGTTCACTTAAATGGAATGTCTATTTGCAGTATTCTAAGTCAATTATAAGTCTCGTTCACGTAAATGAATTGTCTACTTGCAGGATCCAAAGCGATGGTTCATTTGATTCACATGGAATGTCTACTTGCAGTATCCAAACTCAGTGGTATATTTGGTTTGCATTAATGGAATTCCTAATTTCAGTACCTATTCAAAGTCTGGATTATTGAATGGTACGTCTAGTTCAGTAGTTCACAATATAAATGGAAAGTCTACTTGCAGTATCTAAACTCAATTGTATGCAGGCCTTGTATTTGGCCTTATTTGATTTGGTTCAAATAAATGGAATGGCTATTTGGATTATTTAAAGTCAATGGTGCATCAGCCTTATTCCGGGGACCATAATTATTTGTTTTTCATTTTGTAGTAAATTATGCTCAATGATATTAATCCGATTGTTCTTCCCTTTTTCTCTGTACGGTATTTGTAATGTGATATTTAGATGATTCGTTGACTAACATATGTTGCGACTCTTGTTTACCTTTTTATTTTTATCTCGCAAATAATGTCATGGCATCCAAATTAACCCATAAGGCCCACGTTATATTACCAAAAGTTTGAATTGACGTAGAGAAAAGCCCTGTGGTCCCATTTGTACCATTTCAGATATATACCTTCCCATCGTCGATTACTATGATTGTGCTAAATTTGGTGCAGATTGCTTCAGACGTTCAGGAGGAGCATTTGTAAAACAAAAGCAGGAGTGTAGTATAAGAGCTTCGCTTTGCTCCGCTCAATAATATACAGACAGGTTAAATTATTTAAATAGTAGTTTTATTTAAGGATGGGTCGGTTATTGAAGTAAATTGACAATTTAACTCAATTGCTGGAAAATATGGATGTTTTTTGTTGCGTAGTACCAGTAATATTTAGATTTTTTGTGGTTTCTACGCCAATGGTTTTTTTACGTTTTGAAAGGAATGGTCCAAACACTGGTCTTATTATTATCTAGCCTTGTCCTTTTGTTAGATAGTATCAAACTCAAAGCCCAATGACAAATGGCATCTAGGTCTGGAAAAGATTTTGCTTGGAATCAAAGCAGCGACCTTCAGATTTGAAGGAGAGCACTATAACCAATCGGTTACCCAGACAATAAATATTGTGTATGTGTAGTAAATAAAGCCGTTTATTCTACTAGTAAATTATTGATACGTTTGTTACAGTTCCACTAAATGACTTTTTTGTTGAAATATAATTTATCTACTTCTTTCAATTGCTCCTGATGACTTATCTTTTGTTGCTCTCAGTTTTGTAAGTGATGTTAAATTGTTCTTAGATGGTTTTCAAATATTAACAGAAAATAGGGGATTTTTTGGCTTGTATAGAGGTCTAGTTTACTTGTAGTGGTGGAGGTGGTAGCAGCAGTAGAGGTGGCATCGTCATTGCTATTGTCTTCATTGTCCGCAGTGTTGGTCTCTTGTGTTGTGTTTGTCTGACTTTGTCCAACACCAGCAGCCTGAGCCATAGCTTCAACCTGACAACACATCAAACAACATCATCACGTTTCCAATTATCACATAAAAGATCGGAGGTACGAGGTGATTCGGTTTTGAGAGTGAGGTTAATATCTTAAAATAATACTGGAGTCTAAACCTTCGCTGTATCATCAAGATGTTGTTCCCTGGTGCTGCGGAGTGGGGGAAATGTTTCTCCCTCCACCTCCCCTCTAGACAGCGTCCAAACAAGCCTGCGTTGTTTTACATACATAACCTATGCTGCAGTTCTTCAATAAAGACAAAATGAAAGTTAAAAAATGAAAATTTTTAAAGTGAATTTTAGAAATTTCTATTTTTTATAATTTTTTTCTTATAAAATTAAACTGTCATAAACTAACCTAACCAACCAAACTTGCTGATTATATAAAAAGATATAAAATAAAATTGAATGAAGGTTTACAAATCTAAAAAATAGTTCTGTTCGTAAAATAAAATTATAAATGCCTCAAATTCAATTTGATAATTTCCTAATTATAAAATTAAACTGTCATAACCTAATCAACCTTGCTGATAATGCAAAAATCTTAAGACAAAAAGTTAGTGCCACTGATAGAATTCGATCCTGGTACCTTCAATTTCTCAGCCCGGCACATTATCCATTTGACCGCCAAGGCCGATGGCTCCAAACCATATCGTTGTGGTAATGGTGTTCCCTCAACCAATAGAATGCTCTCATTTTGTCTGTATTAAAAAACTGCAGCTGAAATAAAAATTGTGCTTCCCCCACTCCAGAGTGCCAGGGGACAACATGGCGATGATATAGCGAAGCTTTAGACTCCAATTAAAATAATTTGATATTTTTAGTTAAAAAATCTGCAATTTTTTATAAAAGTAAACTGTAAACAAACACCTAGATTTTTAAATAGTATTACTCATCATATGCTTGATCATTACAGTTAATAATCTATCAATCAATTCAGGAACAGGCCCATCACTAATAAATACATTCATTTTTACAAATTATGTTTCTTAATTGAATTGAAATTATTCTTAAAGTTAGTTACCCAGGTTGATTATCATGTTAGTGAGGAGGAAGAAAATGTAAGAAAAAATAAAACACACAATATCAAGTGATGTGTAAATTTAATGCTGCAGCCAACAAGTAGGCTAGGCCAAATTTTTTATTAGGTCTAAGTTAACAGGTACTAATAATTAGTAACCATAAAACTTTGGTATATACTTAAACTACCTATTTAGGCCTAGGCAGGGTTTAGTAGGCTAGGATGAAATTTGTTTCAGCAAAATGCTACAAACTCTCAGACAACTGTAGCAAAAATATTATTGAATAAGCATTAAAAAAAATTTCATTAGGCTGATATTACATGTTTGAACACTACATCTTCAATTTTATTTGTAGCAAATTTTCTATAAGCTTAGCCTGCAAAACAATGTAACATTTTAAAGTTGTGAATAGCAAAATGCTAAATATTCTTCCGCTACTTAAACCCTGGGCCTAGGACTACTTAACGCGCAACTCAGCCTACTCGACTCAACTCGATACTCGAGTTTTCACTCAAATACTCGACTCGACTTGAATTGAAAAATCACTACTCGCCCACCCATAGATTTTTCCTTGAAGGAGGAAAATACTAAAATCAAGGTTTTTTCCCTACCACAACAAAATTTAGAATTTTTAGAACTTTTTGGTATGGACAAATTAATCGAATGATTTTTACTCTAGTAATCATGCTAACGGACACACGCATATAACATATGTATATATATACATACATAATATATATTTATACGAATTTAAACAGATGGTGTTTTTGACCTCCATGGGGACATCAAAACAAAACAGTAAAGTGGTCCCCTCTAGATCTTACCATGAGACCTACGGTAATAGCTTATTTCCTATATGGGAAATTTGCTCTATACTGAATAGGTTAAGTAAACTTAATTGTCAATAAATGGTTTTCTCCCCCATTTAGTTCTAATATTGTTACCTGTTCTTGCAGAAGAATTTTAACATTTCCTTCCGGTTTGGTCCAAGTAGTCTCTCGTGTCCTGGCATTATAGTAATAAGATTTGCCCTCAGATGCTTTGGTCTCGACCCATATCTCGCCAGTGAAGTCCAGAGGCAGGCCGGTCGCTGAAGCACCCCCAGCTGTGGTGGTGGAGGCGGAGGGTGGAGGAACATTAGTAGGAGGCATACTGCCTGGAGGTGGCATTCCTGGAGGTGGCATGTTCATTGGAGGTCCATTTGGCATGGCCGGCGGTCCATTCATTTGTGGAGGCATCCCACCCATTTGGTTAGGCTTGAGGAATATTAAACATGTAATTACTTTCAACTAATTCGTTTTCAATACTGAATTTGGGTTAAATATGATGTTTTTAACTGTTTTAATTAATATTCAAAATGTGTTTTAATACTCGGTTTTGACTGATTTCAGTATCTGGATTGTAGGGCCTATATGACACTTCAATGTCAGAGGCAAGGATTGAATTCCCATAAGCCACTGGGTTTATGGTTTATGCAACTAAACCATTATTTAAAAGCTTCAATGATCTTAGTGAAAATGACTCTGCCAGATTCAGTCAAGAGAAAAAATCTGTAGTTTAGATGTCTATCATCTTCCATAATAGGCTGAAATTTCATCTCTGATGAATCAGTTTTTATGTGGAACACAATAGTTTATTAGTGTATTTGATCTGTTGTAGCTGTTTTACAATGTGTTAACAAACATAGCTAGTATCGGAAACATTTAAACAACTCCCGTCATTAAACTACATAATAAACAAACAAGTCATTTTGGAAATAAGAACCGCAAGAATCAAATTACATTAGAATCACATAAATCAAAAGAATCACATTAAAAAATATACTGTTATTTAAACTATAGTATATTATAATAGTCCTTAACAGTAGATTTTACTATATTTTTTACTAGAGGTGTGCAGATAGTAAAATTTCAGTTTCAATTGGATTGTTAAGGCTCGGTTCGGATCTCATATTGAGCTTTGTGGCATAGCCCACAGCAGGAGCAGACGATTGCTAGCGCAAGCGTGAGTGACTTTGAGCTGTCAATCGATATTTTATTTTTCTGCCATGAATACAAAACTTATAAGAAGCGCAATGCCTTTGTTAAATGGCTTGATATTTGTCATAGACAATTAATCTTTGACCGCAGTATTAATTTGTTGAAAACGTATTGTTGTAATTACCTCCTGGGAAACTAATGACAGTTATTAATACACCCGCCGCAGCAAACCTGCAGACTCAGCGAATTTCCATTTACCTACCTAGATTTCCACTAAAATATTCCCTTTAAGTGTCAGATTTATTCCCTATTTAAATAACCCTATTTAAATAAGGTTTTGATTGGAAAGTTTTAAGCTTAGTATAAAATAAACAAAAGTGCCAAGTTTGTTAAAAATACATCCATAGACATGCAAACTACAATGGTTTATTTATTTTCTATAAGAATAAGAAGGGGATTTTTAATTTACACTTTGTTGGGATTTTCTCTGTAACCGTTAGGCATACAACGATTCGACTTATTATATTTTTTTTCAGGTCTACAAAATGGCTTGGAAAGAAATTGAGAGATTTGATGTTTTAAGGGTCAAAATGATAAAAAAAACCCATTTTTACTTCATAAAGCCCCCATAACCCCTCGTTCCCATAATCCAAACATACTGGAATGTTAACTCGTTCGAATAAATTTAGATACACACGTTTGTACCAAATTCCATCAAAATCGGATAATTTTTGCTCGAGTTATTGTGATAACGGACGCATATACAGGGTGAGTTTTAAATTATTTGCCCCCCCCCCCTACTTTTTTCTACATTTCTTAAGATATTATCTCCGGAACACATCAGATCATTGTAGAGTAGTAAGTACTTCTCTTTAACTGGGATAAAATTTTGGCCGATATATTGGATCCACCAAATTGGAACAAAGTTTTTTTTTTCAAATGTAAAGGTAGGGTTGCAACGTTGCAACCCATTGTTTCAAACTAGATTTTTACGCTGAATACGATGCTGCAATCAGTTTAAACAAATCTTGATCCATTCTAAAGTTATGAGAACTTTTTATCACTTTATTTTTAGCCCATTTTAACATTGTGTATTTACAAACTAAGACCATAATCTCAAAATAGTGCTAGATAAAGATAAGTATACACCACCATTCATTGTCAACCTATTTTCACTTGGTTATGACGGATGTATTTTTTTCGGCCACTATCTTGGATCTGCCATTTTTAAATGTGATCAATTATTTTAAAAATGAAGGTGGTGCTGTGACCCATCATTTTGAACTACTTTTTTATGGTTAAATCAAAGCCTCAATACATTTTTCGTTATCAAGCTTTCTTGATGAAATATTACAATAATTATATTTAAAATGTCAATATTTCAAAAACCAAATAAGAAAATGAAAAACGGATTGCAGCATTGAGTTCAGCATAAAAAAGTAGTTCAAAATGGTGGGTCACATCACCACCTTCATATTTAAAATAATTGATCACATATCAAAATGGTGGATCCAAGATGGTGGCCGAAAAAAATACATCTGTCATAACCAAGTGAAAATAGGTCGACAATGAATGGTTGTGTATACTTATCTTTATCTAGCACTATTTTGAGATTATGGTCTTCGTTTGTAAATGCACAATGTTAAAATGGGTTAAAAATAAAGTTATAAAAAGGTTTGATAACTTTCGAATGGATCAAGATTTTTTTAACGGATTGCAGCATCGTATTCAGTGTAAAAATCTAGTTTGAAACGATGTGTCACAACCCTACCTTCACATTTGACAAAAAAACTTTGTATCTAATATGGCAGATCCAAGATGGCGGCCAAAAATTTATACCCAGTCAAAATGAAGTACTTACTACTCTACAATGATCTGACGTGGTCCAGAGTTGATATCTTAAGAAATATAGGAAAAAGTAGGGGGAGAACTCATTTAAAACTTACCCTGTATAAATATTTTATATATCAATAAATTGTATACTATGTAATAAATCCTACATTGGCCAAACAAGTCGTAGCCTTTAAGAAAAGGTTCCAGGAACATATACAAGCGTTAAAATCAGGTAACAAAACGACTATGAAATCAAATTTTGTAGAGCACCTAATTGAAACTCGACATGAATACAAAAATATAAATGAAAACTTAGAAATTCTAGAATATGAAAGAAACAAAACAAAATTAAATGTCAAAGATTTTCATATATACACAAATTACAAAAGATTTCCTCAAAATGTACTGAATACCGTGAACATCAACAAAACAAATCCTATATTTGAAAAAATCCTACAGTTGCAATAAAACAGAAATATTATATAATATACGCAAAATTAAACAAAGAATAAATCAAGATCCTCTAAATTTTAAGTTAGCTTAACAAACGAATATATTTATTCCTTTCATTATTTTTGTTATTGTATTTGTATCAAATGTAAACATGACTATGACCTAAGTGTTGAAACATGTTGTTTGTTAATTAAAATGAATTTAAAAGGGTACTAATGTTTTTATAATGTTTTTGATTATTTATATCAATATACATATAATATTTGAACTGAGGGTGTTATTGGCCTCTGGGGACCTCAAAAAAATTATATTGGTCCCAGGTCCAGGTCTCACAATGAGACCTACAGTAGTAGCTTATTTCTTATATCGGAAGTTTGCTAAAATTTGACCAAAAGTTAAAACACACAGTTGTAATATATTTCAATTATACCTGGCTTATAATTTATAATATTAACAATTATCTGAAACATCTGTAAAATGTTTATGTTTACATTTTTCAATGATGATAAAAATACAGTTTTGTTCTAACATTTAAAGAATCACTTTTATTACTGAAACATGTTTTAACAGTCTATCTGAAAAAATCTGATACTTAACATAGTGTCAGATATAAAATTCGGGCTAAGGTCAGATTTAGGTATCCCAACCAAACCGAACTGAATCAGGCCTGATTTTTCCAATATCCGTAGACGTATAATTTATACCATGCTAATATTTTATTAACTTTTATAAATTTTAATTTATATTAAGATATTAAGCATTTTTAGAATCCTCCAAATTAATACTGCAAAAAATAATATTGTAAATGCAGCTTATCTAAAAGGTGTAGTTGTAGGTTAAGTTTATGCTCTAGAGCATATAAAATAAGACTTAATGGTAGAATCTTGGTATTAGTAAAATGATAAACTAGCATTCAATATCCATATACGACAAGATCTCATTAAAAAGTGTGTTGAGGAGCAGAAGTGTTAAGGTGGTTTCAGTGTTCAAGGTGCTTTAAAGCCTCCAATTCAATACAAGGCTACTCTGTTAAATCAGGTTCAAACAACAAAATTATTTACCAGAGTATACAATTTAAGGAGCAATAATTCAAAATTAATTATTGATTGTTAAACCCTCTCCCCTCCCAACAACATTTGTAAATAATACGAGCTGTTGGCCCGTCCTACGTACGGGAATCGAGTTGTCAATTAAAACTGAATATGATAATATTTTATTATTTTGTTTTACATTTTTAATTTTGTTAAACTCCAATTACCAATTTATTTTGCTAGGATAAAGTATAATTTAGCTTATTAATTTGACTTTTCTCTGTGCTGGTTCATTTCCCCTTGTTTAACTGTATTAGACTTATATATTATCATTGTATTTTGTTTGGTTGAGTTTATCTTCTCCTCTTTTAATTAAATTGCAAATTCTTTTAGTAACTCTAGTTTTATTCACAGTCCCGGCCCTCACGCAATAGCCAAGCGAGTATATTAACTTATCTTCTAATTACTATTTATACAAAATCACAACAATGAGTTACATGGTGGAGGCCGGTTTTTTCCGTTAATTCGGAATGATTTCTAGATAAATGGTTATTGGAGTTTGATAGGAATTTATTCCTGAGTTTGCGAGCACAATGTGGTCACGCACAATAGCTATAATTAATTTAAGATAATGATAATGTCCATGTAGGTCCACAATGCCTAAAATCTCAGATCAGGTACAATAAAGCATGACAAAACTTATATTTAAGATGAAAATAAAAACACTAATCAGTAGTTAAACGAATTAAATGAAATAAAGGTCCTATGAATAAATAGTTTTCTGCCCCTATAATAATAAATTTTAAACAAATAAATCAATTTTTCCCCCCTTTATTTAAACTACAAGGTTGATAGTCAAGTTTTTAAATGATCAATTATTTATGGATTTTTCAATTATTGATATTGATGTTTACACTCTAAACAAACAAAAAATGCGCTTAGATTAGCTAGGGACCATAAACTAAAAATCCCATCAGATCCCCAATCCATTACTGTCGCTGAGCTTAGGCAGAAACTATCACTTGTTAAAGAAATTTACAAAAAAGCTAAACGAGATGTTGTATTTCAAGCAATTTTACACAATTTCCTACAAGGCGGTAGTATTTCGGAAAGAGATGGTTAAGAGTATCCACAACTTTTACAATTGAGAGAAGCATCAGAGAATATTTACGACTGTGTAGCCGAAAGTTATTTACAACCTATACAGCAAACTTCTAACTCTGCTTCTAATATTCCTAACTACGAAAACACTAAGGCTAGCTCACCCGATAGATTATTATCTCGAAGAAAATCCTTACATCTAGAGAATGCTTCACAGCCCTTTGACGCTAACTTAAACAATAACAAATTAAGTTTAAAGTCATCCTATCCACCAGAGCAAAAGATTCAACCAGCTATTAATTTAAGTACTAACAAAAATATGGACGAATCAGAAAGACTAGCATCCATACAAAATTTGGGTAATACAAGGGACCCCAATGCTGAAAATATACCCCTTGTAAAGCCTACAATATTTAGTGGTAAACAGCATGAGAATGTTTTAGAATTTCTAAAAAAGTACGAACTAGCAGCTAAATGCAATTGATGGTCAGATCGAACTAAACTAGATTTATTTGGAACTTACACAACAGGAGTAGCATACAAATGGTACTCTGATTTTATGGATACTCAGCCCACCAGTTCTTGGGATGATCTCAAAAGTAACTTTGAAAAATCATTTTGCCAAGCTGGATTCAAATTTGACCTTCAAACTACCCTTGACAACAGGATTCAGAATGAAAATGAAACACCCTTAAAATTTGTCTTTGAAGTTCGTAGCTTGTGTAGACAAATAGATCAATCCATGGACAATGAAAAAATAATCAGTTGCACTATTAAAGGCTTACGTCCTAACTACTTTGATGAAATTGTTAGGATAGAAAGTTCAAATTTGCAGGAATTCCAAGAAAGACTAACTAAATTACAAGCCATGCAAGCCCTCAAGCAACAAAACACAAGAAAATACAATTTGCACTATGGATTTGATTATGTACTAAGCGTTAACCCTGTTGAAAATTGTACCAGCACAATAAAAGTTCCCAAACCAAAGAGTGTACATTTTGACACAAATTCAACTCAACAACAAGCTAAACCCCCTGAACTACTTAACGCAATAACTGATTTAACAAAAGCTGTAAATGATTTGAAAGTAAATTATAAAACTAGCAGAGATCCATCACCCAGGATGGATATATCTCAGGTTAAGCATGATTCTTCGGCTCGACATTATAGTCGATCACCCAGAAGAAACACTGGTCAGGCATATTACAGGCGAAACTCACCTTCTCCAGGACGGCATTATAACAGAAGAGAATACTATCCAAGCTATAACCAAAAACAACCACATTATTATCAGAGAAACTACACGTCCAACTACTACAGACACCAGGCGAGACGATTCAATTGTGACATTTGTAAAATGGATAATCACTCAACTCAAAACTGTTATTTTAATAAAAGAAATCCATCTGCTACAAGTTTTGCAGTCTGTAACCAGGACTCAAACAGATCGAGGCCCAGAAGCAACAGTTATGACCGAAATCAGAACAAATCCCCAAAGCAAACCTAATCAAAAAACTAGGTTGTCGGCGGGACGCCCGGAACGAATCTCTTAACCAGGCATCTCGCCATTGGCATAATAAGTCCTACGACAAAATGTATACACAGAACAGCAATAATCATGTTTTTAATGATGATTCGTCTCCATACAATGGTGAAACATTATGTTATGAAAATAAAAATAACTGCCATCAAGTCTTATTTCGTGGTAAAACATACAATGAAACATTTCCCACATTAGATGAATCATTCAAGTCAAAGCGAAAACAAAACTACACAAGCCGACAACTAGGAGACTTGGCAACACTGGTTGAATCAAACAAAATGGCAACACGGCAGTGCGTAACACGAGATGACATTGTGTACAACACGCATTCGCACAATTCCATGAGTCTGCAAGGTCGACAGTGCAGTGACTCACTCCTCACCTCCCCGCTTGAGATAACACCTTCTTCAGTATCCGTGCATGATGTAAACAAACAAGAAAATAATATAGGTAATATTTCGGAAACTACATTAACATATGAACAATTACTGTTAACTCAAGAACAGGAAGTTAACTTTCAAAATCAGTCTTCAGTAATGAAATCAGATAATGTATCAACCCACAAACTTCTATCACTAGATGAAGCAAGTACTATCTCAAATTATAGATAACAGTCATGAAAAGGCAAAAGCCGAAACCTTAAACCTAAGAAGCCTAATTAAAACGAATAAAAGAGAATCTAAATCTGTTCTTGTAGAAGTATATGACATATTATTTGGGACCAAAGAAAATGCAGCTTACCCTACATTAAACTTTAATGTACTAATAGATGGGCTAAGCGGCAATTTGCAATGTCACATTGACACAGGCACCAATTATTCATTCATTAATGCAAACTTAGTAGGCAACAGAACTATGCAAATGGATAATTTGCCCAAAATAGTATCAGCAAACAATCAGCCAATAAACATATTAGGTCGAACTTCCTTAGTTATGATTATAGATGATAAACCCTACACCGCATCATTTTTAGTAGTAGGTACATATCCTAGCACTCGACTTAATAATTGGAAATAAATTACAATTGTAGTTACTACTAAAGTAACTACTACATTTTAACATTTCCCTCAATATACATTTTGGAAACTTTGATTCTCATTAAAAAAAACTTACACCAATATCTTCACCACACATCTTCACTTACACATTCCTATTCACCACGTAACAATTCTCATCTTAAATTGCAATCTCATTCAACTACATTTTTCAAGAGACACTTTCATTACAATGGCATTAAACTTTTTAATCTCCTCCCTCCCTCCCTTCAGCTGGAGTCGGACTTGAACAGCTTTAAAAAGCAAATCAAAAAAATACTCTTGGCCAAGGGTTACTACAGTGTTCGAGATTGTGTCGCTGATGGGTTTAGTTAGTTAGTTTTTTGTTGAAAGAAGTATAATTGGTATAGTTTTATTGAAGCACCATTGTCTATTGTTTATTTTAATTTTAGTTCTACGCTATTAATTGACATGACCAATGCAAATTTTGTATTTTTTGTTATTTTGGTTCATTAAATGAGTTATGAGTTATGAGAAGATGTCTTTCATTACTTGGTCTTCCAAGTGGTCGTCTACTTTGTAGTACTCCTTGAAATACACTTTTAAAAGTTGAAGTATATTTTTTCTCCGCCATGCAAAGCCTGCCCAGCCCATCCGAGATCCGAGCATTTTGGTGTAGGCCTACTTTTGGAATATACCCTTTTATCAAGTTTCTGAATCATACAGTACTACTGGGATAGTTATGATATGGTATGAATCGATTTTGGTTTCTACTGACACCCTGCAGCTTACTGGTCAGTTTTCTGGAGACCTATTACACCGGTTGACATTTTCATTACAAATAAAATGTGTACTGTATGCAGTCATACTTATATTCAAACATTTACAAAAAGATGTATCACACATAAACCACTTATATTTTAAAGGATTAAGCACTTATACTTAGACGGATTGCATTTATGACAAAATTTGATTATACGTTTAAAATGTTTAGTTCAAAATTAAACAATCTCCTAATAACATAGATCTTTTACGGTATGAAAGAAACTGCATTTTAAAGTGAAATAGTGTGTAGGCAAACTCTGACGATCAATTTTTTTAACTTGTAACATAAACATTTCAATGACAGTTAGAAACCAGCTGTTAGTTAAACCACCACTAAAACGACTTAAACTCGTCCGTCGGCTGCTAGACTTTTTGAAAATTTAAACTTAATTTCTAAAAAACTGAAACCCTAAACTAAAATTATGGCTTCGACATTCCCTAGTTCTCAAAATTATCTTTCTTTCAACACAAAAATCATGAAAATCCGTCAAGTGGTTGATTCAGAATTGTGAAATTAAAAAACCCTGTTGCGTTTTAATATTATAGATTATACTTGATGATGATTACCTGCATCATTGGAGGAGGTCCGGACCCTAATGGAGGAGGACCACCCATACCTGGAGGTGGGCCAAACGGTGGAGGCATGCCCATGGGTCCACCAGGTCCTCCCATCATGTGGGGTGGCGGCTGAAACAAGCATGCGACTAAGACATCTATCACTCCTTTGGAGGGGTTATAAGATAGAGTTTTATCTTTCAATTCACAGTTATTAGGTCCTTTGGTTTGAATAATTATTTATCCAAGTATGGCTTATTATTGAGGCTGTACTTTTGATACTTCTAGCATTTTCTTTTTCAAATACATTCCATCATTAAAATTACTTTAGATACAGCAATATATTTATATATATGCATATTCTACAGTTGGCCTATAAAATAAACGGTATCAGCATTCTGACACATACTTTCTCCCATAAGCTTGTCAAAAACCTTTATCATGGGCAAGTGGTGAGAGTAAATATGATATTTTATAGTAAAAAATCACAAAAGTTACAATAAACTTTTGAACCGTAATTGTTACAACAATAGGGTGTTGTACTATTTTTTTTTAAGTGATAAGTACCATAACTTATTAATTTTGATCAAAACCAGCTTTTCTCCAAAAATCCGATTTTTTTGTTTATTTTATGGTTTTTATGGGAAAATAATATAAGTTAGGCCTACACTAACTTTTGAACCGTAATTTAAACGGAAATGAGATTTGTACCATTTTGTTCACAATTTAAAGGACTACAACATACTAAATTTTTTAAAAAATCGTTCGGGCAATTTTCGAGAAAATCCAATTTCTCCGTTAATTTATGGGAAAATCCTCATTAAAATTTAAAAATATGAAAAAAATGTTCAAAATTTTAAGGATCATAACATACTAAGTGAAATCAAAACCCGCTTTTTTTCTAAAAATCCTATTTTTTTAAATTTTATGTTGTTTTTTGGTAAAATAACATAATTTACAATAACTTTTGAACCGTAATTTTTACAGAAATGGGAGTTCTACCATTTTGTTCAGAATTTAAAGGGCTACAACATACTAAATGTTATTCAAAATCGTTAGAGCCATTTTTGGAGAAAAGCCTATGTTTTCGGTATTTTATGGGATTTTATGGAAAAATCAACATTAAAAATCAAAAATTTAAAAAAAAATAAAAATAAACGCCTGGAGATACCATGGATTAGAACCTACACACCAAATGTCATCGAAATCGGACCACAGGTGTAGTCCCAAGCTCTGTTGCACATCCAGACACACAGACGTCACTTCTGGATATATCCGCTTAAAACTCAAACATTTTGACAAAAACAATACTTTCTTCCATATATTATGGTATAGGGGGAGAAAGTAAAAGTTGTATGTACACATATTTTTATGTCCGTAGACACTACTTATTTGGTAAGAAGAACGGCTTTACTCACCCCCATGCCTCCTGGAGGAGGTCCCCCCATCATGTGATGCGGTGGAGGAGGAGGCCCTCCATAGTTGGGGCCACCGTGTCCTTGCATTGGTCCTGGACCCCCCCAGTTTGGATCCCAATTTGGAGGAGGCCCACCTCTAAACCTTGGGCCTCTGGGTCCTCCATAGTGTGGTCCGGGAGGTCCTCCACGGTAGCCTGGTGGTGGTGGCCCCCTGGGCCCATAGCCGCCTCTTCCACGGAATCTAGGGCCACCACCATGTGGTCCATGGGGGCCTTGTGGCCCACCTCTGGGGCCTTGTCCTTGACCTCTTGGGCTGAAGTCCATGTGTTGTCCTCCTCTCCCACCACCTCTTCCACCACCCCTAAATAGAATTTTAGTTTTCTAATATAAAAATAAAATAAATACCCCTTCCGCAGCAAACCTGCAGACTCAGCGAATTTTCATTTGCCTGATTTTATTTTCAATTAAATCCAGTGCTTGATTTATTAAAAATGAGGGGCCGGAACTGTAGCCTATTTAATGTGATACGAACCTATTTATGTATTTATTCATGCAAATATTTTCATCTTTCTGAAAGAGAGGTACTGGAACTCTGTTCCGTTGGTCCCCGCCCAAGTCAGGCACTGATTAAATCTATTTTAATAACATTAGGTTGTGGTTGAACAAGTAGGCCTACCTAGGTTTGCTGCTACAAGGAGTGTAATAAAGTGTATTTTTTTAGTAAAATATTAATAACTTAGTATAAAATAAATAAATTGGAAAGTTTGGTCAAAATATGCCTATTAACATGCAAACTACAACAGTTTACTTATTCTCCAATTTTTATAAATTTTTACCTCATGAATCACCCCATAAAACCTCGTTCCCATGGTCCAATCTAGCTGGTTTGTGATCTCGTTTGAATAAACATAGGTTTAAAACATGTTTGTAGTAAATTTCATCAAAGTCGGATCATTTTTATTACTCGAGTTATCATGCTTACGGACACATAACTTCTAGGTATATACAGGGTGTCCCGTAAGTAAACAGCCAAACTCCGGGATATGAAAATAAATAAATAAATAAATAAATAAGGTCTTTATTCATGAGCGAATTTCAGTTACAAAACTGTTTTACAAATTGACTCAAGTCAGGACTTAAACTAAATAAAACCTCTTATAACTACGAAACAAAATAAGATTAGTTACAAACTTTTAGGCGATTCTTAAAACTGTTGTAAGACAGTGCTTTTAGCTTGCAAGGAAGTGCATTGTACTGAGCCGGCCCGAAGTAAGAAAAACCCCTTCTAAACTACCAGCATCAAGAACAACCCTTGGTATGTCAAGCAACAAGTCCTGTCTAGTTCTGCGCTCTCTCATGGCCGACCTCGCTTTCAGTTTTTCCTTCAAGTACTGTGATGCCTGAGTGACCAGTGTTTTGTGGACGATACATGCAACCTGCTTATCACAGCTCTCTCGGACGGACATTGTATTTGAGATCCTACGGTGACTTGTTATATGATCATATTTTTTAAGTTTGTATACGAACCTTAGGGAGCAATTCTGTAGCCTGTGAAGTATTGTGATCTGTTCCTGTGTTAAGCTGTATCCAAAAACAGGTAGGCAGTAATTTAAAGTAGGGAAAATCAGGGATTTGACCAACCTCAACTTGATGTTTGCAGGGAGCAATGTTCTAAACCTATTAAGCACTTTTAATTTTCCAACAACACGTTTGCTTATCTGTTTTACATGGCTAGAGAAAGTCAGCTGTGAGTCAATTGTCACACCAAGAATCTTAATGCTTTTGGAAGTTGAAAGCTCTGAGTTATTAACTGTAACTTTGATGCTATTTTTTTCCAGCTGCTCATAGATTGCTGTATTGGCAAAGTGTATAGCGGAACATTTTTCAGGGTTTAGCTTTAATCCATGATCCTTAGACCATTCACAAACCTTTGAAAGGTCACTACTCATATGCTGTAATGCCTCCCCAACCAAAGTAGGCTGGTATGATAAGAAGATTTGACAGTCATCAGCAATACATAATCCCGAAATCCAACACTGATTCAATACCTACTATATACAGATTGATTAAGATAGGAGCAAGACAACTTCCATGGGGAACACCGACTGTCTTTGCCACTGACGATGAGAGCTGATTGCACACCTTTGTAATCTGTGATCTCCCACTCAAATATGTGGTCATCCACTCTAGAGCCTTACAATCAAATCTAAAATATTTTAACTTTGAAATCAACAAGCTATGGTTTACAGAATCAAACGCCTGTGTATAATCTAACGACGACAATACGCTGCACAGCTTATTATTTTTGGCTTTGTAAATTTCATCAATCATGTTAAGCAAAGCTGTGCATGTACTGTGTCCCCTTCTAAAACCAGATTGGTTAACATCTAAAATCTACTCTGCATCAATGAAATGCGTTATCTGGTCCACAACAACCTTCTCTAGGAGTTTTGACAACGAAGGCAACAATGATACTGGTCTAAAGTGTTAAACCATGGATGCATTGTTCGTCTTAGGAAGGGGGATTACCAGGCTATGTTTCCAACATTCTGGGAAACTACCCGTTCTTAATGACATGTTTATTAGGCGTGTTATTACAGGGAGGCAGTAAGGGCTTAGTGACTTCTTAATCAAATGAATGTTGATTCCGTCTATTCCAGCAGATGCTGAAGTTATGCTATTCATGGCCATTTTTACTTGGCCTTCACTTACTTCAGAGAAACTAAAAATCCCAGAAACGTGATTAGCATTGCTAGATTTGTAATAGTTTAGAACATCAGGGTTAATATTATTACCAGTTCCCATGGTGGCAAAAAAACTATTCATATCATCATATGGTTCTATGGGTCAAAATAAAGAGAAATTCAAGAATAAATTGTTTTCCAAAATCAATAACTAGATATCCACCATCTTTTAATTTTTACATAAACATTTTTATTTTTGAATATTTTCAACCGATCTTTATCAAACTTGGTATGTAGGTTAAGGTAGAAAAGACCAGTGTTAAAAAAATCTCGATTCAACTTAAAATTTCAAAATGGCAGCCATTTTAATTTTTTAAACTTAAATTAGGCCTACTCAAAAACGGCTAATTTTATGAAAAAATGTCAACAACACTTTTATTTAGCATTTTTAATTCCCTATCAAAGTTCAAAAAGATTGAATTAGAAATAGCTGAAATATTACGAATTTTAGTTGTAAAATGGGGTAGAATAAGGCTGAAGAAGCTAGTCAGGTTTGCCCCATTTTACAACTAAAAATCATAATATTTCAGCTAGTTCTTATTCAATCTTATTAAAGTTAAACTTGGCAATCCAACACATTAATTTATTTTATTCTTACACATTTCTTACGTTGTGAATAAATAGAACAAATGTTAAAAAGAAGTAGGCCTATTTGTTATATTAGGCCTAGTTCCTATTAGTATACGAGTACAGCGTATGTAAGGGTGTGATTTATTTCTTGGTACTAAATTAAATCTTTCTTTAAGTATAAGTAAAACTTCATCATGAGCATACTCTCTAAAATACTATCATATGATGGATTAACTAAAGACAGATAAAAGTCTGATTCAAGCAGCTCACTTTACAGATGATTGCAATACATTTAACTTTAACTACTTAAAATAAAGAGAAATTCAAGAATAAATTGTTTTCCAAAATCAATAACTAGATATCCACCATCTTTTAATTTTTACATAAACATTTTTATTTTTGAATATTTTCAACCGATCTTTATCAAACTTGGTATGTAGGTTAAGGTAGAAAAGACCAGTGTTAAAAAAATCTCATCATGAGCATACTCTCTAAAATACTATCATATGATGGATTAACTAAAGACAGATAAAAGTCTGATTCAAGCATAATAATATTTCAGCTAGTTCTTATTCAATCTTATTAAAGTTAAACTTGGCAATCCAACACATTAATTTATTTTATTCTTACACATTTCTTACGTTGTGAATAAATAGAACAAATGTTAAAAAGAAGTAGGCCTATTTGTTATATTAGGCCTAGTTCCTATTAGTATACGAGTACAGCGTATGTAAGGGTGTGATTTATTTCTTGGTACTAAATTAAAATTACTAAATTTAACTAGGTAGTGTACCTGTTGCTCGAATTCGAGCATTGCGAAGTATTACAGACGTTATTTTAAAATGAATAATAGGCTGGACAAAATTTTCGATGACTAAAGATTATGGAAATACTCACGGTGTACATAACAGTTCGATATAACCTACATTTCTTGTAAATATACATTTTCAAAAGCTGGTCTTGGTTTTTAGTGTTTTCTACAAATGTTTCCCACTCATAGCCGCCGCATTAGGTTGTCCACAATAATGGTTATAAATTCTTTTTAAAAAATCATTATTTCTATTTCTTCTACTTTGGTGAGAGTTATATATATGGCTTTCCAATGTTTACATAGTTTGCAAATCGGCTCTTTCAATGATTGCTCAAGAAATGCAGCACAGTGTTAATTCAGTTTTATTTCAGTGAATTTCCCTATAGAGAAGTAGCTATTACCGTAGGTCTCATGGTAAGACCAAGGCCCGGGACCAATTTACTTTATCATTTTGATGTCTCCAGAGGCCAAAAACACCATTCGTTACATATTTTTATCCGCTTATAATCAACTCTTATGTGGACAATATATATAGGCCTACCTACATTCAAAAGATCATAAGTTGGAGTTTTATGGAATCAGAAACAGTGCTCTAAATCTTTTGTGGTCTTATTTAGCAAATCGTAGACAGGCGGTATACGCTGATGGTGAATGGTCCTCCATCGCCCTCAGCAACTGTGGGGTAGGCCTACCTCAAGGCTCCGTCTTGGGTCCCCTTCTGTTTTTAATTGCTATAAATGATCTGCCTATGAATCTTAGTTGCAATTCCTATCTCTATGCGGACGATACCACCTTGCTATCTTGTCACAGTGACCTTTTGCATCTTAAGTCAATTGTCAGAAACACAGTCAATACTGCTACCGAGTGGTTTTCAGCCAATAGTTTTCTTTTGAATAAAGACAAAACACAATCAGTCATAATTTGCCTAAGACCTCTACATGATATAGGCCCACTTGAAGCTGAACTGTCCAATATGGTAAAGTTTCTGGGTATCCACATTGACAAACAACTGACTTGGTCTGATCATATAACGCAACTCTGTACTAGGTTAAGTAGAATGATCTGCATTTTTCGTAAGCTTAATGATTTAGTTCCTATTAGTTATTTAAGATCAGTTTACTTTGCTTTATTTCAGTCTGCCTAGAACTATGGTATCATTTTTTGGGGTAATAGTTCTCATGTCTCCGATGTCTTAATATTACAAAAAAAGGTCCTGCGCATAATGGCTACAGGGTT